AAACACAGACACACACACACACACACACACACAGAGACACACACAGACAGAGACACACACACAGACACAGACACAGACACACTCTCAGACCGAGCTGAAGACCCACAGATCAACACTCACATCATACAGGTGTGTTTCTTACCTTCGGCAGGTTCAGAAACAGGTGTTTAGACGAGCGGATCACCGGCGTCTCCTTGCACACCTTACACTGCGGATTCTACAGGAGAGACAGAACGATAATCAAATAAACGCCACATAGTAAACACTACTGAAATTAATACTTCTATTCATCAAGGATGCATTAAATTGATCAAAAGTGACAGTAAAGACACAGAGACATTACATTAAAACAGTAAGTGTAATACTGCTTTAAAATATTGTTGTTTTTCCCCCCCCCAAAAAAAATTCTGTTTAATTTAATTTTGTTTTTCCGAGCAAAAAATAAATATCATACATTTTCCCCTGATTTACAGAAGAGAGCCACTAAAATGTCACTCAGTGTAACAATCTTCTCAGGCATATTTAAACAAAAATCAATTTATGACATATTAAAAGACGAATTACTTTCACCCCAAATACTAATTAGTTGTAATTTTACATTTCTAAAATGTGCCACTATCCTAGGTTTCGCCCATTTGTCAGTAAGAATTCTTTACTCATTTAAAACACAATAAAATGTAATATGCTCCCTTATTCTTTTATATATTTTAATATATGTACTCGTCAGAATAAGCATGTTGTATTGAATATTGACAATGTAACATTATTTCAACCAAACTTATTTGAAACCTTAAAAGTAGATACTTTACTTACATTTAATGTGCTTTCTATGGACATAACATCACTTTTACTAATTTCTTTTGATGTGGACATCTTAACGTCTTAGACTCACGTATACACGTCAGATGACCATTTCTTTAGTTTTTTCAGCATCTCACATCATGAGCGGCGCTTGCTAAAAGTAACTCCATACTTCTATATCAAACGCTTCTCAAGACGTCTGTGTTCAGTGAGCGGCTCGAACCGTACCCCGAGCTCCACAGCGTTGATCAGACGGCCACATTTGTCACACTGGTCCCCGCGGGCTTCTGGGTAACGGCAGTGAGGGCACTCGCCCTCCACGAAGCGATCGGCCAGAAAGCGCTGACAGCTTTCACAGCGCAGCTGCGCGACCGTGTCCTCCAGCAGAAAACCCCGCTCATGCAGACGCCAGAAGATGTCCTGAGCGATCCTGAGGACCACAGACAATCATTCACTGTTTTCGTTTCGACAACTTT